ATGGAAAATGAAATGGAAGTTGGGAATATATAGTGGTTTATAGGGGTACTTTGTACTGATTGAGGGGTTAAACATGAAGTTGCTAGTAGCCAGCAGCAGCAGATGTCAGCAGAAGCTGCGGGAGAAGTTGTAGCAGGAGTAGTAGTGAGCGTAGCCCAGCGTGGGCTCAAACTGCTGACGACTGTGATGGCAGCAAGCCGCGCTGAACCACGCATTTCTGAAGACGCCCATATGACGTAGTAAAACCGGTATCTTACTTGGCCCTGCTAAGAAGGAAGGCTCATTTGTTGCTGCTTGTCGTCAGGAGCAAGTGCTGTGGCTTTGCCGCGTGCTGGCCGTCACAGAGGGCTCGCGTGCAGGTGGTTTGATTCTCCATTATAGTAGTTNNCCCAATATAAACCCTAAACCCTGTATAACCCCATTATAGTAGTTTCCATTTTATTTTCCATAATCCCAATCTAACCCCAATATATGTTTAACCCCTCATGTCAGTTGAACCCAGCAGCGATGGTACGGTCTCGAAGCTTCATGTGGGAGTTGTTCTAAAGGTCCATGGAGAGAAGGGACCATCGGGAAAGCACATCCTAAAGCGGGATCCTAACCAAACAGAGAACCTGCATTATGGCCATTTAGGCGGGCACATATTTTGAGCAACTACCATGTGCAGTTGCCCAAGGCGTAATGCCAATTTTCCTCTAGCACCAGCAGTGCCATCGTCACATGAACTTTGGTTGTGCTGCAGTCAACTGTCCTGACTGCGTTCTTGCAGTATTCCTGATTCCTACTTCTTTGCTAGTGCCATCGCCACATGAGTCTTTTCCATGAGATCATGGCATGCGCTCATAGCACCAGAATTGACAAATTTGTACTGAGGGCAATGACTGACGTTCTGTAAAAGATGCTTTTCTAGCTTTTCTTTCTTCCTGCTGCTACCATGCGTATCAATGGTAGTTTCCTAAACTAGGGGGCCCCAACATGGACCCCAAGATATTATAATCCGTATGATGGGCCGCTCCCAAAAAAGGTACCCCTAATTCTGGGAAAGCCCCCAGTGTTCTCACCATTATTCATCATTGCCCACACCTGCCTGCAACCCTCAACCGTCCAGGGATCCTGTCGTTCTATGGCGCCGGGCTGCTCCTCTGCGATGCCATGGCGACCTTTGCAGAGGCCGCGTTGAGAGACACTGGAGGGATGCGATGATCATGGTGGAAGGACAAGTGAGGGAATTTTGAGAGCTATTGAGGGGGTTCTAGAGAGCTTCAGGGGATGATTGAGAGGATACATACGATGGATCACTATGACTTTTAGAGGATCCCCGTCATAGAGGTTGAGGTCGCGCAAATCCTTTTCTTCATGAAGTGTAGGGAACCCAGGAAGTTAAGCACGACCTGGTCACTTGTGCAGCTCTTAGTAAGGAATTTGTAGGGCTATATAGGGGTTATATAGGTGTTATAAAAGGGTTATATGTAGGTTATACAAGGGTTTTACATCGGATTACATGGGGGGGTCGTTAGGATTTACATAGGGCTTCCAGAAATGTAATTCTCACGTAAAGCTGGCCTGGAAGCATCCAGAATTAAGCGCGGAAGCCTGAATTCCCACACTTGTTGCATACTGGGGGTTAACAGGGTATCAGGAAGTGAAATCCTTATATAATATCCGTATGACATGTTCCCTGATTCTCCCACACTTGTTGCATACTGGGGGTTAGCAGGGTATCAGGAAATGAAATCCTTATATAGTGTCCGTATGATATGTTCGCTTGTTCTCTACTAACCCCAAGTAAGATGAAGAAGAGTTCGGCAGGTTAGCCTGCATGAGCTGGACTTGACTTTGGATGAGGCCGGTTTTTGAGGGGTAATGATGACTCCTGATTAATAAACCCCCTCCCCTTAATAGAGACAATAATAGGGATCCTAATATCAAGGCCCTTAAACGGAGGGTGTTTATTAATCATGGGTCTACATTAACTGTGTCGCGCTTATACAGGGCTTATGTTGGGACTTGTGAGGACATTTCGTGGTTTAGCAGTAAGGGGGCCTTTGCAAAGGTCTCAGATGGCAGGTTGTCAAAGAAGGTCATGGTAGGGATTGTTAGGGTTTAGGGTTTAGGGTTTAGGGTTTAGTGCTTAGGATTTAGGGGTTAGGGTTTAGGGGGTTTTATTTCGGGTAGGGGATTAGGATTCTGCGTACATTGGGGTGTAATGGAGAATCAAACGGAACAAGACAATGGAACATGAAATGGAGGTTGGGTTTATGTACTGGATTACAGGGATTTTCGGGTTTCCAAACTTTAAGGCCTTTTTTGGGGATGTCTAGTAATGAGAACTTAAAAGAAGCTTTGAGGCAGCTTAATGATCGCCACGACTTCGGAAATTGCAAAGTTGTTTGAGATGACGTCAGCGGATATTTGGACCCTAAACCCTAAACCCAACCCTAAGCCCAAAATTAGCATCTTTTTCTGGAAGCTGCCACCTGCATTCAAAAGTAGAGGTCTGGATGACTTGAACTGCCTTCTGCAAGTTCGATCTTGCAGTCTGTTCTCATCGGTAAACTGGCCAGATACATTGGGTTTAGTGGCCCCTTGTTGGGTGGTCCCTTTTCAGTCTGTTCGGGTCTATCTTGCAAGCCGCTATCTTATAAACCCCAGATGGGTGCTTTCCATTTAGCACTAGGTCGATACATTATGAACTACCACGGTTATCTGTATCTGGAACGGTAAGTCAGAGACTGTAGGATCTTCCTTGGCTGTAACTTGGGTTTTCCCGACTTAGATTGAGCCCTAAACCCCCAAGGCCCAAAATCCTGAGCCCTACTAAGGCCCAAATCTCAAGCCCTACAAACCCCTAAACCTCAGACCCCATACACCCTAAGCCCTAATCTGGGTTGATGTTAAGGAACTTACCATAATGGGTATATATAGTAATCAATAGAGTGTCCCCAATATAGTAACTTTAATCAAGTGCCTTAACAGCAACCCAGTATAATCCAAACCCTATATTATAATCCCTATAATCCCTGTAGTTTCCATTTTATTTCCATTATCCCAATATAGCCCCAATAATATACCCCCCCATATTGCATAAGACCCTAGCAAGGCTTGGGCTGCAGAAGCCCTAGCAGTGCAAGAGGTGCTGCTGCATCCGGGACTTTTTCAAAATGAGGGCATTATCCAAA